CTAGTCTGATAAATTGGATCAAGTTCACTAGATGACTGAATTGACTGCACAGTGGATATACCTACTGAATGTCCCATAAGAAATTATTGCATTAGACTCTATTCTCCGATGCTCAAACTTTGCAACCAACATCATGGAGGTCTCCTGGTCCCTTTTATCAATTATTGAGTTCCTAAGATGAGCTGAAGTATAGATCACTGCTGGCTTTATGCATTCCCATTTTCAAAATTATGAATCCATCATAGATCCTTGACTATTTTGTTAACTTGCTATTGCATGAATATAATAGCTCCAGCTATCCTTATGAGTGTCCAGAATTCTTGTGCTACAATGGAGTTTCCAGGACAGCTAGTAATATTCTCTGTACTGTTACTCATGATTGAGTTATCTTGACATGGCTGCAATACTACTCACAACTCAGATTTCTCTCTTTCTCTTTCTCCCTCCATACGTACCTCTATGCCTTTTGGCCCTCTTACTGCAGTTGGTTTGAAGTTGTTTTTTCCCATGAATAATTCAACAGACCACATATTGGTAAAATAAGAATGTTGAGGCTGCTATGCATTCAATGCAGGATATCTTTTCCGAGAGGGAGGGAGGGAGTGGGAGTTAAACAAACTTGATAACCTTGGTGTTTTACCAAATGCTTGTTTGTTAAACAGTCATTACTTATTATTACTAGGATGTTCACATTCACATGATTAAGTTCTGTACTTGAATTGGTTCTTTGTTCTTTCTTATCATTAATGGATACTTTCTTGTTGAACTATTATAATACAGTGCATATCTATGTGTACTTGGTTTGTTGGATGTTGAGCTTAAAAATGCTACACTATAACCAACATATGTATTTATCTTTTTGATATTTACAGGGTTTTAGTATTATTTGCTTTGGCATTCACTGGAATCCTCTATCCCCAGAGTCGTGGAGCTCTTTCTACTTCTATTATCATAGTTTATACTCTTACATCTGCAGTTGCTGGCTATACCTCTGCTTCTTTCTATAGTCAATTCGCTAAAACTGGATGGGTAAGAGGCCCCTACTATTTGCTCTGCTTCATGAATTTAATTGTTGTTTTGTTACTCTTGATGGAAATGTCAACTTTTCAGGAAAGGAGTGTTTTTCTTGCTGGAACGCTTTTCTTTGGTCCATTCATATTCATAGCCTTTACCCTTAATCTGGTGGCTGCATATTTTGGAACCACTGCAGCCCTTCCATTTGGCACTATTTTTGTTCTAGTTATTGTGCATATGGTTATCGGGATTCCCTTACTTGCACTTGGTGGGTTGCGTGGCTGCAATTTTAGGCCTGAATTTCAAGAATCTCATACCAATAGGAAATTCTCCAGAGAAGTCCCTCCATCAACTTGGTACTGCAGAATCCCTGGTCAAATGTTTATTGCGGGTCTTTTACCTTTCAGTGCCATAGTTATGGAGTTACATCAATTGTATGCAAGCATCTGGGGATACAAAATCTTTACTCTTCCGGGCATCTTGTTTATCACATTCATGATTCTTGTTCTAGTCACTGCTGTCTTAAGTATCTTGTTGACATACTTTCAACTGACTGTGGAAGATCCTGACTGGTGGTGGCGGTATGTTTAAATACAATTACTTGTGCGCATTATTTTTGTGAGCATTTGTTTACTTTCTGTTGCATGTTGGCTTCTTTTTTACACTCTTGCCCATTTTATAGTTGTTTACCAGATTTGTGATTCTTGTGGGCTTAATATGAATTTTATGATAATAATCAGCTGTACCCATAATTTTAACAAGTTGAACCACATACTTATGATGCGGCAAAAGCAAATGTTATCCCAGCAAACCTTGATTGGAGAAACGTTTCTGTGTCTCCTGATAAAGTTTTAGACATTGGAGAGGAACTCGCATATTGGATTTTGCCCCTATGCATGGCCTTTTGTTGTTCGTTCATTAACACGGTACTAGCATTCATTGTCCAGTTTTAGTACTAAATAAACTGGCTGAAGTTAACATGTCAAAAACTTTATTCTAAAAACAAAGTTTTCCACCATACTTTTGGGGTCTGCATTATCTGCATTGGAAGACTGCCTGCTCACATTCATATTTTTTCTCCGCATGAACCCTTACTCCCAAGCACAGGCAAGAATGTTTAGATGTTTATGTTCCTTCTGCACTGTGTAGAAACTGAGTGAATAAGGCTATCATTCTAACTATAATTTGCTGTTCTAATTTAGCATCAGCCATTGCATTTATTATTGTCATACTCAGCTGTTAGAGCTTAAATTTCATTTTGATCTCTCTGGTATGATTTTCTTCTGGTTTGACATTTTTCCCCTTCTCATTTTCATCATCTCTGCTTGTAGCCATACATGTGACCTTTCATCTTCTTATGGTAAAGCTGTCCTTGTTTGATTCAGGTCTTTCTTACGTGGGGGCAGCGTGGGGATATTCATGTTTCTGTACAGTTTCTACTTTTATTCCAAATCAAGTATGAGTGGTTTCATGCAAACAGTGTTCTATTTTGGCTATAGTGCTTCTATGTGCTATGCATTTTTCCTCATGCTCGGCACAGTCAGCTTTTATACTTCCTTGACGTTTGTCCGCCGCATCTACCATGCTGTCAAGAGTGAATGAGCTTGCTGCTGTGTCTGGCCTTCGGCTACCTATTTTGCTATCTTTCTCCTTCAAAAGCATACACAGCACAAAGGCAATCATTGTTACACCAGTGGTAGTCTCCTCCGATGAGGGGTTGCTCAGCAGGAGGACAATTGGTCGGAACCTGAAATCAAGTTGGAAAGACTAATTTCAATTTAAACTGTCTTTTTAGTATAGCAGGATCCGCTAGAAATGATGTTAAACTTGGATTCCCCTGCCTGCTTTTGTTCTTTACCCCAGGAAAAGGAAGGGGAAATACAGAGCAAAGAGCCTATGCTTGTAGCTTACAAATGTTGTTGGTTAAACTTATTGACACCCAGGAGCAGAGGCCACTGCCAAACATTGTCCTGTTATTCTGATTTAATACCATAACTTCAGTTGCCTGTGAAGCATCGACTGGGCATTACTTTCCCACGTTGCAAGATTTCTTGGCAGCGCCCATAATAACCACTATATCTTTAAGGTTCAAGAAGAGATATTTCGGGAGGGTCTCAGGGAACAGGATTCAGACTGTTTGAGAAGCTGATGCGAGGACACATAATACTCAATGGACTTAAATGTAACTTTATTCTTGGCCAACAAAGAAAATAGAAGAATACAATAATTGTTACATCATATGAGATCGATGTGGCAAGTGAACCATGAGCAAGGGGCAAGAATGCTTGTTATGACAAGCGTTCCCGAACAGTGTAAGGTCATTTCAACAAATTGTAAGATGTGATCGTTTACTCGTATAACTTTTTAATAACGGTGTGATATTTCGTCACTGTTCATGTGGACGTCATTTTTATAAATTGTAAAATACGCTTAGTTACTTATACAACTTTACAACACTAGTGTAATATTCCATCATTATTCACGTGGATCCCATAGATAATAATTACGTCTAGTCTATATTACTAATTATTACAAATAGTTATGCATATCTTATAATATGTTAATAAGCTGTTATACATCTTTACCCATTGAACAACTTCAATTGCAATATGGTGAGAAAGATGAAAAAAATGAAGATTATTTTTTTTGTTTTGAAATTAATGTCGTGGTATTATTTACTTAAATTTGTATTAAACAAAAAAAAGCTTGTGCAAAGCCCTCTATTCTATAGCTTATAATTTAGTTCAAGGTGGTCCATACAGGTGTGGCCACCCTTGAATTTGGTCTGCAGGAGATGGACCAACGATGCTTTAGGAATTTAAGGACAAGAGTTGGTGATCCCATCACCCTGAAACAAATATCTCTCATCCTTTTTCTTGCATAAACGTACGTCCACATCTTTGCCTCTTCAAGGTTAACTCCTCCTGTTCACTTTCTATTTCAGTACTACAGATTTTTATTTTATTTTTTCCTTGTTACAAACTTACAACAGTGCTGATCGAATTGTGTCATGATGTTTCAGTATTCATGTCAATTTGCACTGCTACTCAAGTCCAACAAAATTGGAGACAAGTGTATTGTTAAGCAGCAATACCCAAAAACATATAAGATTCAGTACATTATAGTCAACACAGAACCAAAATACATAAATTTCAGCACATCATTTGTTTATTTAAAATCCAACAAAAATAAGATACTTAATCAATTTGAAAATGCCAACTACTATTTTCTTTATCCCATTCACAGTTCATATTTCATCATCTCAAGGAGTTCTACATTATGCTATTGGTTACAGATTCTGAAACTCCACATGAAGAATTTCTGAGTGACTGTTTTTAAATGGTATTAATACGATGCCTAATTGATTAAAAACAAAAAAGGATTTCAGTAGTAGCACAGACGTTAAAAGCTAACAGATATTATATACATATAAAGCTCCTTCAATCATTGATCTTTACTTGTATCGATTAATAATTTAAATAAATGTGAAAGTTTTGTTTAAAAATTAAAGATGCAAATTACTAAATGTAAGGATAACGATGGATTTGGAAAAAAAAAAATAATGGATACAAGTGGTTTGTATCAAAATCAGTCTCTATAACCTTCCTATTTTTTATAGCAAAAAAAAAAAGAAGATATGCCATATCTAAAATTATGTTACGAGTGTGTTTCGATACGAGATTATTTGGAATATTTTTTTTAAAAAAAAAATATTATAACACTTTTTGTAATATAAAAAAATTGTTGTAACCGTTCAAAACTTGGATGAAGGCCTACCCCCGTTGCGTTTTACGCTAGATGTAGTACTTTGCCTAACATGGTTCCATTCCACCACACATTTGAACCAACAAAAAACTAGGAAAGACACGTTCTGACTTCAAAAGCCATAAAAGCAAACCCTACCTACGTGTAATGCAAATTCCCCACGCATTCCTCTATACTCTCTTTGTATAAATCCTTGACTAGAGACCTTCTAGCATGCAATGCAAGCATTGATCCAGATACTATCATTGAGACCGTCAGTTATATCTTAGTAACCAATATCTATGGCCAACTGTTCTTCATCTATTGCTGCAGATACTAAAACAACCAATATGGCCGCTGATCATCTCTCTAAAACAAGCAAAACAAGTAAAGCCCATGAGGGTTCTTTAGATTTCGACAACTATCAACCAGTGATAGCGTCGCATAGAGTCAGATGTCAAGATGCAAAGCCGAATGACACATCATCATCATCAGTGCAGCAGGATGCTTTGCAACTGATGCCAAAGAGTCCAATTCAGCAAGAGGAATCTGGCCGAGAAAAACTGTTTCGGCATTGGAATGAAGTGGCTGGAAGAGTTTGCATACCCGAAATCTGGGGTCAGGAGGCTTTTCTGAATGATTGGATGGATTGTTCTTTGTTTGATTCGTTGCTTGCTCCCAAAGGAGCTGTTTCAGCTCGTGAAGCACTGATTGCTGAGAGAAAACGAGACAGCACGAGACACTTGATGAAAATGGAAAGTATGTACTGATCATTCCTACCTATTCATGACTAAGCTCTAATGGCGGTAGTAGTTTGTAGATCTCACGGGAGATGGCAAATTCTCCATGTTTTCTAGTGATACTCGATGCTAGCTTATTATATATAGGTTCCTTATCAATGTTAAATCTATCTGTACAAATTCAAGGTGTCGGTGTTAATTAATCTTGCTGATGGTACCTTTTGATTAATTATGATGAATTAGGATGTATTAGTTGCATATCACATGTATTATTACCTATCTCTTGGAGCAATATGACCGAATCTAGAGATGATCGTCTGCTTATGTTGAGGAGAGCTTTCTTTCTTCTTCTCAAACAATTATATGTGCATCTCCATCTAACTCAGTTTAAAGATATAGTAGCTGTGCTTTATTTTCTTTTCTTGGTTTGCTTGCAGCCAGGGGGAACAATTCATCTGTAAGGCAGGGAAGTGGTCGATCTGGTGATCCTAAACCATCTATCGATGCATATACAAAATACTGAAGTATTTCTTTTCTTTTCTTTTGCCCTTTTCTTTGTTCTCAATTTGAAAGATGGTGTATCTAATTCGACTTCCAAGGGACTGATGCAGGAATGGTATTTATCTTGAAAATTATCAAATATTTAGCACAACTTTAAAGAGAGAGAGAGAGAGAGAAATAGCTGATTCTTCACTCTATTGGAAGAAAATCCAAAAAGTGCAGTGTCCCTTGTTTTTTTCTTTGAACAAAAAGGCAATCACTTTAATTTCTTTATATAACTTTAGATTGGTCTCCCTTTATCTTAATTAGGAAGTCGAAGTGGAGATCTTTAGATTTCAGAATGGAGTTTCATCCATTTTGTTGATCAATCTTCTACGTTCTAAGATCACACTTATGTTGGCATCCTTTCTTGGTGATTCTGAATTAGTAGCTTCTCAAAGAAATCCGTTCATAGTCCAGTTTTCAAAATTTTTTTGTTACACAGTTTCACTTGTTGCTTTGAATTATTTGTTAACCGTTTGCTTTAGCTTTTCCTACTTGAAAAAGCTAAAAAGAAATAACTCAATAGGCAATATTATGGCAATATCAACTAGCATGAGAAATTTTGTGAAGTTACAGACGTATACAAAACTCACTTAATTTTTATTTGTATCGTTCGATATTTAAAATATTTGTAAAAGTGTCTAAAAGTAAGAAATGGAAATACCTGTAAAATCAAATCTAGCCTTTTGCCTTTCTGATATTTGGCATACATTAAATGTATAATTTACGTATTTTTTATATTTATAAGATTCTCTTATGTTCATTACAAAATTTTCTTTTACAACTTTATCTAGATGAATCAAATCCAGTCTTTTTTGGTATTTTGGATGAATTTAAGGTTTTACTATTCCGTATTTGTTTCCGAATTTGCACGAGGGAGAGAAAAAACAAATTATTTGAGGACTCCTTAAATTTGTCAAACAAAGAATGTTATGATGCATTTAAGCACCACAAAAAAAAAGGGCAAACTCCAATTTACCCCCCTATGGTTTAGTATTTTGTTACATAACCCCCCCTATAGTTTCAAAAGCTATACATAACTCCCTTATGGTCTGGATTAAAGTGTCAAAGTGACGGACATGATCATTTGTAACGGAGTCATCTTAAATATAAAAAATACCCTTATGTAAAGTTGAAAATTATTTTTTAACCAAAGGGGATTATTATATATTTTGAAAATCATAAGGGAGTTATATGGTAAAACATTAAACCATAAAGGGGTTATGTGGTAAAACATAAAAATCATACAGGGTTAGTGTGTCATATATTTATAAGGGTAATTTTGACATTTTCAAAAGTTCCGTTACGAATGACTATTTCCATTACTTTAACACTTCAATCCAAACCATGAGAGGATTATGTATAGCTTTTGAAATCATAGGAAGGTTATGCAAAAAAACACTAAATCACTGGAGGGTAAACTATAATTTGCCCAAAAAAAATGTTTGAGTATGGTCAAGTTACAAGATTCATTAAATTGGACCAAAAGCTATGGAGGTTCGATGTTGATCAAGCTTGCCATAGCTAATTATCATCAAGCTCAACCAGAATTAAAGTTGCCTTGGTGATTTAAGTTGTGCACAAGCTCAACAAGTTCTTTGTTCATTTTTTTGAAGCAACATAAACGAAAGAAAAAAATGCTGCATACAGAAATTCAGTACTTTTGCTTGAAAAATTTACTGTAAAGTTGTACAAAATCCCTTTGTTTCTGAATTTATAGGACAAAAAATATATGTTTGGCTTTCCTTTTATCTACTTAAAAATATGTCATCTTAAATCTTAATCTACCTAAATATTGTTTACGTATAATTGTTGGTATTGTTTAACAAACAAAATTAAATTTTGCGTTTGGACGGGGGCTCGAGGCCCAAACCAATGTGTTTTTATGCTGCTCTTCCATGATGGGCTGTGTGCAAAAGTGCTTCTGCAAACTACAAGGGCTAACTTCCTTCGATGAAACCAGCAAAACACAGGCCTACTTTGGGAGTTTTGCAGAGAATTATAGAGGAGAAAGTTTAAATTACCAGAGAAAAGAAAGGAAGGGAAAGGAAGAGAATAGATTTTCAAGTTGTTTGGGAATTTAGGAAAGAAATGGAACGATTTTTCACTATGTTGGATATTAATAGTTTTTTAATGGTATTTCAAGGACACATTTGGCATTTTAAATAAGCTTGGAAGCTTTGCGTCCACTTTCCTTCTATTTCTGTTTATTGAGAAAGTTGTTTTAATTATTCATCCTCTATTTTCCCCCCTTTCTTCTCTTTTCCTTAGAGGTGTAAATGAGTCTAATTAAATCGAACACCCTAGTGTTTTAATTTATTTAATTATTTTAACGAGTTTGAAATTTTGTTCAAGTTTGGTTTGTTTAGTTGCTAAATCGAATTTGAACGAGTTTTTTTTATTGAATTTGAAAGTTATCAAACACAAAAAACTGTTCCAGCTTGGTTCGACTAGTTAGTGAATCAAGCAACCTCTTACAAAACCGAGTTCGATTTAAGTGTCGAATAATTTGATTCATCTTTTAACCATCTACTTTCCTACCACTCAAAAACTTCGAAACAAAAGGGAGATGAGGTCACTCCTTCCTTTCTCTTCTCTTCTTGTCAAATCCCTCCATCCAAAATAGGCCTCACACAGTCACACTCCTCCTTGCAGACTTTGTGAAATGCCAAGAAGCCAAGCTGAAATTCCAAATTAAGATGCTATTATGTCCAAAGCTTTTGGATTTTAAACTTCCAACATCTATGGATCTACTATTACATTTCTGAAAACCAGCAAGTTCCAGATTGAACAAGCTAGTTTGGTTGGGCCTAAACCAGTCATTCAATTTTGGCCTATAGAATTTTTAAATGACCACATGATTACACCCCATGAGTCCATGTCTTGTCCTTTGCCTTCTTAAGCTTCTATATTACATTAATCATCTCTCTTGTCTTCTTTTCTTCTTTGTATTTATGTGTCATTCTATGATATCCAACTTTGCAATACCAAAACTTAATCAACATTCACCACCTGAATAATTCACCATCAAAAAATAATGAGTGTGTTTGAATATAGTCTTATTTGAGATATTATTTAAAATAATTATTATAACATTTTTTGTTATATGGTATATATGTAATAAAAATGTAATTAAAAATATGAAAAAATGAGCTGAAAAATGTATTTATAATACAAGTGAAATATGCCCAACTTTCCTTGTACTAAAAAATCCACTATTTGGCGGTCCAATTCGAGTTGCCTTTTAAACCGGAGTGAAATAGCTCCAGCCGGTTCAGCTACCCATCTAACCCGCTCCGTTGGAAAAAGTCCCAAAACCAATAAAATCTCAACTCCCCAGCATTTGTTTTTCTTTATTGACGCCGGCTGCTGAGGATCCAAGAAAGGAAAAGCTAAACCCATCAGAAATCAGAAGGTAAAAAAGGGGAGAATTTGGTCGAAAATTTCCAGAATGGCTTCCCCAGCTGCAGCTCGAGGAAATGGAGGGGGCGTTCTTGAAGGCCTCTACAAAGTTGTTATGCGCCGCACTCCTGTTTACGTCACCTTCGTCATCGTCGGAGCTTTCGTCGGTGAACGGGTCTCTGCCTTTTTTTGCTTCATCATTCACCTTAGATCTGAAAAAAAGAAAGAAAGAAATATAATTTCTGGGTTTTTGCATAGAATCACAGAAAGGAAAAAGTTTGCGCCTTTATGTGATAATTAGTTAAAATTTGTCTATTTAAGTAATGGGTTCGATTCAATTTGACCTAATGGATTGAGGGAATTTTTTTTTTTAATTTTTTAATTGGCTGCAGGTGGTGGACTATGGGGTTCATAAGCTCTGGGAGCATAATAACATTGGGGTACGACAATTTTACTCTTTTATTTCTTGTATTGTTTGCAAGTTTTATGTTGTTTCCATATTCTTAAGGTGCACAATCGGTTCTTGGGTTGCTGAATTTTCTTTTTGGGCGTTAAAAGTACTTTGATTGGTTTATTTGATTTGAAAGATTTGATGTTAGCAAAAGACATTGCGGAACCTTGAAATGTGCTGCTCTACATTGTTGTTCACTTTATAGTTGAACACAGATGTGAAAAATTCTATGTATATGGTTATTTCACCATTTGATATGCGAATGATACGAGATGGCTTAGCACTGAAAATGCTTGGATCGAATGATGCTGATTACTGTTGAGAGCTGCATTTTGCACAGGTTTCTGAACTTCATTTCCTTCATGTGAGAGATACATTTTTTGGTGCATATACATGGGGTTTAATTTTTTTAGTCTTGGTTCTTTTGAATGTGTTGTTCACCTTATTTTTGTGCATTGAGAGTTAAAAGCTCACCCCAATAATGTACCTCCTGCTGTTTTACATGGACTATTCTTGTCCCCATCCATATACGTGTTGCAAATCAGATGACCCTGGTTAAGGTATGCGATATTTGTCCAACACTTCAGACACCATAAAGTTAATGAACACAAGAACAAAAATAGAAAAGAAAATCAAGGTGCAAAGATTGTACATTGGTTGTGTGTGCAAGAGTTAGATTGGAATTCCACGTATAATGTTTATTTTCTCCTACTCTTATAAGTTTTGTTGTTTTTTTGGCAACAGTGGAGATAATTTTCAGACACATACAAGCAGAAATTTTCTTTTAAGCATAGCCATTTCATAATTTAAGTTGTATTTAAGTCATTATATTTTCTTAATACGCTACTTACAGATAGGATACAAGACAGACCCCCTCTAGCCAATTCTAGATCTTTGGCCGTGTACCGATACCCTAGTTTTGAAAAATTCAAAATCGCCTAGATACATAGACTGAATATGACATCTGTACGGTCTGGGCACTGATGGTAATATTTTCAGACAGAAGAGAGGAGATTTGGGGTAAAGGATTTAGGGAAACCATAAGAATAATCTGAACGGGTAGTTGCTAGATATGCTTTCCTGGCAGTTTTTTTTTTTTTTAAATCTCCAATGACCTTGAGTGCTTTTTTGTTTCTATTCTTCTATGTTGACTCCTTTATAGCTTAATGATATCCTTTATAGGGCAATAAAGAATGTATTGTTAGTTATATTTGGTTTCTGAGGGGTCATGAGCTATTGGTAGGGAATGATTTTCTTTAGCATTTTTGTTGTGATGCAGCCATTGGGATGGATCCCTGAATCTTTGGTACATATAATTTTTGGGTTCTTACAGGATGTAGATAGTTCGTTTTTCTGTACTTGTTTTCCAGCTAAATTTAAAGATAGTACTGTTGGTGGTCTTGGCCCTTCTTCCCTTGATCTAACACATTGGCCACACCAGTTTTTAGAATCTTCCTGGGACCAGTTATAAGGTTGATAAATTCGGGAAAAAAAAATAAAATCATGGTTGCAGAATGGCTTTGATACTAGAGGTACAAGGTATATAAATAAGGGATGAAGCATGCTGGGAGAGGTATATTTCTTTGGCAGAGATAGACATTAAATGAAGATGTCCTATAGTTAAGTGATGTATGGTGCTTAGCCATGTAAGTGGATTTTGTTTGTCATAAGGAATTAGGAAAGATTGTTTCTTGGAAGTATTTTGATCAGTTGTATTTTTTTCCCCTTCTAGTTGACTGTCTAATGTTCCTTTGCTTTATTTACTTCAAATAATGCTAATCGAAACATTGTCAATTGGGGAAGGGATGTTTTCCTTTAATTGTTCATCGCATTTTCTCTTTGAGAAAAGGAAAGTGAGAGTTGAATATGAGGTGGAAATACAGTGGAGATTAAACTTGTATTTTCTCCAGGGTAAAGGAAAGTTTTTAGGGGCTGTTGGAAATTGAGAAGGACAAGTTAAATATGATGTGAATAGTCACTTAATTTTTGATCATTTTAGAGGTTTCTGCAATTTCTTTGTGCAAGATTGTAGCATGCTATATAAACAAGACACTGGACAATAAACCCAGCCAACTGATACAAGTTAGATGGTACTAGCTGAAATGCCTAGGCTTAACTTCCTGTTGTTTTAGGAAATAGAGAGAGAGAAGAAAATAGTCATTGTGGTAATTCTGAACTGATGCTTGAAGTGTGTTTTGTGCACGCTTCTCATGATAGATGTTGGATAGTGTAGGATTATAACTCGATGCAGCTGAAATTCATTTGAGATACTGTACAGCATAGCTCTTACAGGCTCAAACAAGTATCATATACAAACAAAGGAATTCTATTATTTAGTCTTTCTTGCGCCTTGTATTGTCTACAGTTTTGGCGTATTGTTTAGTAGTTATCTGCTTAAATTCTCCCTTTTGATGATTTAAGATGCTTGTCACTCTTCTCATGACTACGATGTTATCCAGTGTGGCGCCAAATGATGATTTACCATGTGTTCCTTGTCCTTAGACTTGTACCATGCTTGATTGATGTATAGGAACCTTTGAATTTAGATCCATCTTTTCAAAGATTTATTTTCTGATTTTAGTTAGCTATTTGACTAATTGAACATTCATGAACACTTAAAGACCAAGTCAAACTGTTGATTACTAAAGAACATGCAGTGAATCAGCTGAATTAGATTGAACTCTAATTTTCTATGGTTGCTTCTTAGTAAGAATTGTTTAGATAAGTTTTTTATTAGATCATGCAAAACAGGATTAAGATTTTTATGTGTGATGCTATAGCTGAAATGCTTATGATATCATGCTAATTATTATTTTCAAAATCTGCCATCGAAGTTTCTATTGAGTGATCATAGGTACTTGCCGGATTAAAGTAAGCTTTGAAAATTGTGTCTAGAACTGTATTTGGTACCCTATTCGAGTGGGGTTTGTAAGTATCATAATTGAAATTAAACCTGCGTGTTATTTGGCTCGTGTTCTGCAAATTGTGTCTTTTATAGTCAATATTCTTCTCTGCTTCTAGAAATGGATGCTTCTAGTCTTTTACTTTCCTGCTTTATGTAATGATAGATATGTCTGCTTTACCTTCGTCGTGGTCTTCATGGATGTCTAACTGAAATTCATAAATATTGCATTACAGAAGCGTTACGAAGATATTCCAGTTTTGGGTCAGAGGCAGAGTGAATGAATCAGCTTTTGTACTTGATAGTTTTGGTCGTCCATCATCATTTCAGGTCAAAATCAGACTTCTTGCAATGATCCATTAATAATTAGTTCCTTAATTGGACTATGCATGCAGATTGGAGACTTGAGGTTTCTTTGAACCGTTAGAATACCTTTTATCTGTCAAGATATATTTTCCCTTGTGTGGAAGTTCATCTGATAACCCGATGTGCTTTTGAACATTGATTTTCACGAGAAGTAGAAGTTTATTTGATTAGGTGTTACTGAAGCTACTCCTTGGAGGCTAAGTCAATGGTAAAACTAATATGGTTCTTACAAAGATTGCGCTTATGTTCAGTCCACTGAACAGAATTCTACACAGAATTGACGAATTTCACAAACTGTAATGCATGTAAAGTTCACTTACATAACTGTTTTTTGTTTTTTTTTTCCTTTTTGTTGTAAATGTTTTCCTTCAAATAACGAAAAAAAGAAAAGAAAAGAAAATGACTTGTTTAAAACATTAGAGGGTTATTTGCACTACCTCCTTTGAAGTTTGATCAAAGTACAGATCAAGAGTTGAGGACCTTGAGGTCTAACCATGTTTCAGTCGCCATCCGTTCTGTGCTTTCCTGCATCATACCTTGCCATCTTTCTTTCATACACAGAAAGAGTCCACCCAATACTTGATGAGAATGTTCAAACACTATTCTCTGTTTTCTCCGTCACGCTTCACCTTCTATCTCTCCTCGAGCTTTTTGTTGATTGGGCACGTCTCATCTTCCCATATGAGCCTTGCATTCCTCCTTCCCATATGAGAAGGCAAAAACTTGAGCCCATGCACCCACATGTGCCCCATTTCCCTTGGCACCAGCAGGATTTGAACGATGTTGCCGGGCTCATCATAAATAGAGAGATCTTGATACCCTTAACACGTTCAGCCAAAACTTGGAAGATCCGGTTTTCAAAAATTCAATAGTTCAGATTAAGTTGCACCACTTTTTGAGATGAGTAACACAATTTGACCTATTGAATTTCTAAAGATTGAATTTACTCAAATGTGAGTCAAGTATAATCCTTCGATGACCAGGTCATTCGTGACCACAAACATGTAATTTAGAGTTATCTTAAAAAAAAAAAGACTTTTAAGGTACTTTTGAGTCACAGTTTTGCTTAAACAATAATTAGATGAGTCCTAGACATGATGGATTTATTCTTTTGATATTCTTTAGGTTTTAAAAGTGTTCTCAAGAAAATTGCTTTTCAACTATGAATAAGAAATTCCTTTTCCTACTCCTCTTCACCTTTTAAATGCTTTGGTAGATTCCCTCCATTCAGGTTTAATGCAGGAACAATTTTTTTTTTTAAAATATTTGAATTCCTTGCCAAACCTGTACTTTCCTGTGAATTCAAAATTTTATTTATTGCAAAATTGAGGAAATTTAATTCAATGACACATTTTCAAAGTAAAAGCTTCAACAGTCATATAGAAAGGTTTGGAGGCCTAACGTGATTCCCATTTTAACTACTACATTTTATTCACTTTTCTGCTAATCATATCTCCATAAGGCGGCAATCCATTGGAGACTTGGAGTAGAAGCGTCTCATGACCCAAAGTTACAATAATTTATATTTAAGAGTGGAACATTTGATGCTCAGAAGTGATTAGAGAGGCTGATGCGATATCCATCTCTCAAGCATAGTTCTGCATTCGGCAGGCTTGAACTCATAAGCAACATGGCCTCCTCCCTTCACCCAAAAAAAGAAAAAGAAAAAAGGGGTGCTAGTTAGTCCCAAGAATGTTCTAACCTTCTTGTTAGTCGTTACCATGTAAACAAATCTTGCACTGATGCATTGCCTTCACTGTTGCAAATGTCATCTTATTTGCGTAGGTCCTTGTGTAACTGGAAGCAGGAAAACAGAACAAATTTAGATTAGTTGGGTAAAGTTATCTTTTATCTCGTGTTAATGGTAATCAAGAAAGAAACATTTTCAATCTTGAACCAACCCGGCAACTTGGCCTTGATGAATCCACTGTCTCCAATCGTCAATAATTGGGTAATGTAGAGATCTTATCCATGCTTGAGTTTCAATGTGCGGGGCCAACAGATCATGGTCACCACTGAATTACAAAGTACTCCACTTTCAGTACCTAAAATCACTGTTAACCCAAATGCATTAAGATTCAAAGTTAGGTACCAAACCTGTATACAAGGGATCTATAACCTTTAGTGCTAAGGTTTGCATGATATGGTACAACAGTCGCTGCATTTTCTGTGTATGGCAAGAAATCGTTGCATCTTAACCACTGTCCGATAGTTTCCTGCAATGTGATTACAGAAATCAGTTCAGGCTTGCTTCGGCATTCAAATGCTACATACCATAGTGCTCGATTTAGACATACCCTTCGCACATGGAGGGCCACTTGGACACTCTTGTTGTTAGCCCAGTGCTGAACGAGCATAATCAAATCCGTCTACGATTGCCAGTGAACAGAAGAAACGCGATCAGTTGTGCTACTAAGAACTGATGCTCTTATCCGCAAGTTTACATAGAACGATACAAGTGGTATCTTACTAGGCATTTGACTGGAGTAGATTCCCGAACGTCTAGCTCTTCAAACTTCTTATACAACATTTGTATAATGGATCTCCCACCAGTAAATAATTTATTTGGCTCTCGTGAAAGGGAAGGACATACGGGAATCAAGATATGTTGTACCTCAATATTACGAACCAACTGCAGAAGCAAATTATTAACAGCATCATTTGGGTTGCCCGTTCCTTTATTCTGATTCTTCCTACCTTTGTGGCCCGCAAATTAAAGGGAAGGGGTAGCAACCAATTGTTAGTACAACCGTTTCTGGAAAGTGTGTTATTGTTTGAATAAATTATAATTCATTGTTAACTTCTACAATTTCGTAACAGAAGTATGATGTTCAATCACTGCTCGTGTAAGCCCCTAACATTAACTGCAACTCTGTTACGAAATTGCACGAGAAAGTTATAATGAATTAATGCTTGTTCAAATGATATCACACTATTTAGGAACAGTTATACTGACAATCCTTAACTCTGTCACTCTTTCTTGAGTTTAGGGGCACTTTAAGTAAATCCATTAGGCCTTGCCTAATTTTTGAAAATAGAGTCACATAAAAATTGCATAGATATGATTGCTTGCCTCATTGTATGCCTGCATATTTTTCGAACACACTGGATTACTAGGATCTATGATTTCATATTCCCCTTTACAGCTAACCTTCAAGGACTGCATTGTAAATATACAGGTCAATCAGAAAATCACGGATAATTTTACATTGTAAGAATGCATGTGACAAATGACAGTGTTCTGAGATATCAATAGGTAACAAACAAAAGAAATAAGTTACCTCATAGAGTTCATCAGAAATCAGCCCCATCCCATAAGCAAACGGAACTCTATAGTTTAGAATTCCTAAAGCTTTCGTCACTGGATTTCCAAGTATGTATCCCTGAAGCCATAAATGGAAACGTCTCAGTTTTAAACTCAGGATGGTAAATTTTTCTCCAAATAGTATGTAATCAATCAAGATTAGGTAGACTAGAAAAGAGAAGATCATCAAGGGTACAGACCTTAAGATCAATACGTGGTTCAATGCCGTCCTCGTTTCCTGGAAGAACACCAAAATACATGTAAGTTTTAGTGCCTTACTAGTCATAGAGCAACAAAGCATTGATCCTATACTCTCTGTATTTAGCAAACTTGAACTGATCATCTTGTGGCAGGAGATAATGTAGAACTCTGAACTGGTCAAAGAAACGTTTTCTTGCTTTATCCTGGAGCGTCTTATAACTTAAACGTATTGACAGAAAAGAATAAAAAGCCAGCAAATTTCTGAGGGAACTTTTAACCTTTTTTCCCCTCTTAAAGCTCTGCATTATGTTAATAAAACCCATTTAGCTTAAAGTGGCAACTATATTCCTACCTAAAGAGACTTAGCATATACTACAAGCTTACAGAAAGCATTTATAGTATATTCAGATCTCTTACAATGCCTACGTATCTCTATATAACAATTTCAATAATCAGATTGTAACACAACCAAAAAACTTCCCCAGGGTAAAGAGCCACATTGAAAAAATCTTACCATTTGATATAAGTTGAGTTAATATTGGAACAGGAATGCCCCCATACGAGATTCCACTAACATAGAATGGATTCGACTTGTACTCTGGGTGATCATGTAGCCACTGCAGTATAATCAACTATCAAAACCAAGCTTGTAAAAGGTAAACATCTTTTAACTATAATTTCTTTCCCATTTCAAGGGAAATTAAGCTTTTAACTTGAGGTTCAAATGGGTAAAAACGCAACAAATATCGCCTACCCAAGCCTCTATAATTGGCAGTGGTAATTATAGAGGCAGTTGTAATTGCACTGTGTACTATAGGCACTAGCAAACCAATTGTAGACATTAAGATACAACAACATGCAAAAAGACAATAAATTGCCTCGCTTATTGAAATTTGTACCTAAAATTGAATTGTAAGCATCAAATTCAAAATTAGTCATCTTCCACTATATTTTCAAGGTAAAACTGTAAGTTTATTGATATGGGACAAGTTTGTACAAGAGATAGAATATCTCATTATACATGTTAAACTAATTATCATAGGAGCCTGTATCAAAACATTTCACTAACTAAACACTGTGAATGGGATATTCCAATCTAGAGATTGCCAAGTTTCATGAGACTTTGGGATCTTTCCCCATGCAAGAGCCACATGCCTGACCTCCTCCTCTACTCTAGCTTCCATGACGCTAACTGCCAAAACTACTGTTAGATTCATGAGTAAAAGATTACGTCCACATTGATCCGAGAGATGGAGAAAGAGCGGTTAATATGTAAGTAAGAGCCCGAGATCAATGACTTAAACTTTTGGATCAGGGTTGGGTTCCTGACTTACATATTGGGCTTTTTGATGAGCTTTCTTAAGGTGTTTCACCCTATCAACTACCATAGCCAATTATTATTGATGCAACTTTTATTCATCTTCCACTGCCAACTGTTCTATACAATCAAAACTGTGTTCATAGAGAACTTGAATCCAATGGAGGCAATTTTGGGCAGAGCCATGCAGGATTCCACTATTCAGAAGGAAAATAATTAATGATAGTACACTGGTCTTTTTGCATAATAAAGGGTCTAGAGACAAATATGGCATTTTCCTGATTAGTAATTGTCCAACGTTCCATGAAGCCTTACGATTCATTAATTAGCTGACTGATGGGCGTGTACCTTCCTGATAAATTCATAAGCTTGATCAGAGGCTTGAAAATCTGAAGATTGAGAAGCTTTTGCAGTCTTAGCATAAGAAAAACCAGTTCCAACTGGCGAATCCAGAAAGATGATGCTTACAACCTAACAAGGAACAAGAAATGATTCTCAATCTTGCAGTCAACTCGAATTCTTAATCTTGAAAATTAGGTTTGTTTGGATAAAAATTATTTGAACATTATTTCAAAAAAAAAATTTTGAAACCTTATTTATATATGTATCGCAGTAACCTTTTCATCTAGAATACATCACATAATAATAAATACTACGTAACGATTCTATGAGTCTAAGATATAAAATAAAAGAAAAGAGAAACTCAATTCTTGAGTTTACCTTGGTCCAAGTATAGGGATTTAATACCAACTTGGGTAGAGTGCCTTCCAACGACAATGGCTCGAAAGTTACTGGTCCTGCAACAGAAAATCACCGGCCAGTGACTTGATCAAATGCTGGCACTCCAGTTTATCAGTCATCATCACTTGAACATTAAAGACAAATAAAGATTATGACTCCATTTGAATTAGCTGTTTTTAGGAATGTTTTTCAAAAGTTTTATTGTAGCAATGCATATGAAAAAATATTTAGGTGTGTGCTTTTGGAGCTTAGTTTATATTTTGGGCTTTTCTATGTGCATCTTTAATTTGATGTGAATGTGTAGTTAGTTATTGTATGGATGTTTGTAGCAGTTGCTACTCGCGACAAATGGATGCTATTCAATAAAATTAATACTTTTACCCAAAAAACAAAACAAAAGACCTTACACAAAGCTTCATCAACCAGACAACGTCTTTTGTCTTTTTTGCAGAGTTTCAAGTACGAAGTGTGAATCGGAATTGAAATCAGTAATTCGAAATTTTGAAATCGATATTTTTTTGGAATTTTGGCATCAAAATTTCTTATTCGAATTCAATTCGAAATTCAGTAAATTCCAATTTCACAGAATTCAGGAATATAAAATTATTATTATTATTATATAAATGTTATATTACATACACATGAAAAATGAATTTAAAATCGAAATAAGAATTCCGAATTTCGATTTGAAAAATTCTATTACTGAATTTGAACCAAATTTGCATAATTCAAAATCAGAAAACCGATTTCAGTTCCAAATTCTGAATTACTGATTTCGAAAATTTCGAATCCGATTCAAAAATTTTCAATTTTGCACCCTCCTAGTTTCAAGATTCTACAAAATCAAGAACAAAAAAGTGCCGCAATTTTTTTTTTGGTGACACCTAATGCAAAGTGTAAGGCATTAGAATTCACCTGTCCCAAAGAAAAGTGCAATAAATGAGCTGCAGCCAGGGCCTCCATCTAACCAAAGGATAAGAGGATCCGAACGAGGATTTGACTCTGACTTGATAAAAGCGTAGAAGAGCTGCACATCCTCTGATTCACCAACTCCAATATACCTGATAATATCAGAAAATGGATCAACTATTTCTTCTAAGTTTTGATCAATGTTAATTTCTAGTGTTATTATATATATATATATATATATATATATATATATATATACATGTTATACTTAGTGGCTCACCCGGTTTCGAGTTCAAAGGGGAGGGGTCCTTCAAATCCTGGAAGAAACTTAACTATGGAACCAGCCATAGCAAGGTTTGAACATGCTTGAACATAAACTAGCAGCAAGAACAGGTCGCAGAAGATAGGATGCCTTAGAAGCACCTGCAACTTCTCCATAGAGCTTGGCCTATCTCTCGTTTAGGGCACTAGGCAGAGCAACTTTAGACTCCAGACACTTGGATAGAGTTCTTGGAACTTTGGAACTCTAACCCACAAGCTGCTATGTCTACAGAGAATCGCCTTATCGGAGCCACAAATTTAACTGACCCTAGCAACACAAATGTCTTGTTTGCCAACTCATGCATTGCCGGATCGAACTATCATTCGAAATGATAGCTTTACTGTAAAGGGGCATGGAAAAGACTTAGCACCGGTTTTCAAAGATGGTAATTACGTTACATTACTTGGTCAAATGGTATGTGTAATACAATTTCAACTATTAAATTTTTGAAAACTAAGTTTACCTAAATTTTAACCGTATATAAATAACTGTCCAAATGTTTGCGAAAAGAAGAAATCTGCCAAGTACCAATGAATGATCGATCAAAACAAAGCAACTCATCAGAAGAATTTATCAAAAAAAAAACAAAGAAAGGTCTCCCTATCCTTTGAGCTCTCTCATTTTAACGACTTAAATGTTTCAAGCAAATTATAAATTATACAATGCTAAAATCCCCGCACAAGATAACTTCGTTATGGATATTTTAGTTGATGGACGCTTGATATGTGTTAAAAAATTAATATACGAGTTTGGTTTATTAAAGAATTTTTTAAGTTGCCACCCAACTTTCAAGTTACGTGCACTTTTCTTTATCAAGTGTCATACTTAAACTTTTCTTCTTAAAAGGTGGCGTAAGGACGAAATAAAATTTACCTTGTTATGAAAATTGCCTTATTTTTGTTTCAAGTAGTAACATGTAATGAGAATGAGGGAAGAGCTCCTTGCTACGTGAGAAATGTCATAATACGGTTGCGTCGGAATTCAAATTAGATTTTTCTATTTTTCTCACGTATCGAGTTTTGTCTTTATAGATATAGATTTAATAATTGAGTCAAACCACATTAATCTTGTATCTACTCGAAGTTTCATGTTTTTTATTTGCTTTCTTTAAATTGTCATGCACTTAATTTTTCAATGATTCTTCGTTTGCTCTTGGATCTCAGCATCTGGTATAATATCATAGCTAGGTTTTGGTTAATTATTGATATTAAGTGAGTTGCGGTAATTTTTAATTCAATAATTTAATAGAAAAAGAATATTTATGTCAAAAAGGCATTGAAGGGAAAGGATCGAAAGACAACAAACATAGAGGATATTTGATAGTAAAGTTGGGCAAGTGATTTAGAGGGCACGGAAAAACATAGAGTCCAATATTAGATTAGGATGTAATTTAGTGGAAATGTTCTTAACAATTTCGAATGGTATGTACTTGATGTTGGATGTATTTCAGCTTTGTTGTTTGAGCGGTATGACACGTGTATCAAAAAAATCCAAAAAAAAAAATCTAACTCTCATGCATCCCGAGACTCTCAAAGTTACGAGGTTTTCATTAATGGTGGAATTTTAAAAAGCACACATGGGCTAGACAATATTGTGAAGGTAAGAAGTATGGTGATTTTTAAAAAAATAATAATAATTTTTGTTACTTGATTACCTCAATAGTTGGGAGCAGAATTAAAAAAGGGATCCAAGATTACTTACAAGTTGTAAGTGCTAGTGAAAAGGAAAATCCTACAAACTTAAGTCAGCTAAAGGTTGGACTCGGATTAGCTATGTATGGACGTTACAACAACGTAATAATTCGGTATGTATAACTACACATCAAGCTTTTTGGTGGAGATTATTAGGAAATTACTTATATTGTTTAGGCAATTTTTATTTTGTGTGACAAGTAAATAGTTTCTAGTAATTTATATGTATTTGGAGTAGTTGCCAAGAAATTTTGTATTTATATACGTTTGGAAATCAGATAAGTTATTTTTTATTATTACTGAAATATTTGTCAAGTAATATATCCTATAAATTGAAGGGGACTGTCATATCATAAATTAAAGTACACAAAAAGGAGTCATACGTCATAGATGAGAGTGAGAAAAAGGACTTTGGTATATGAGAAATATTACACAAGGTTTGGGTTTAGAATTCAAATTGTATTTTTATATGAACTTTTTTCATAATAAAGAATGGGTTATTACTATGAACATGTTAAATCTTTCCTGTCAATTGTATTTTCTTGTTTTTGACTCATTTCCTTGAATTGTTATTAACTTGATGTTTTATTAGTTGCTTATTTCGTGCTTGGATCCCAATAATAGGTTAGTCGATTTCAATTTTCTTTTTTGGTAAGATAAAAGTTTAATCATTGCTCATTGCAGATTTGGGGACCAACAATGAAGACTTTCCTAGTTTTTGTCAAAATATTTCTTTGACGTTAATTGGCAAAATTGGTTTTAATTTTTTTGTCCTTTGTTTTCGCTTTGCTTCAAATTATCGTGGGCCAATTGCTGTTCATGTATGAGGAATGCGAAAACTCCGTGCAATTATAGTATAGTTCTATGTGAGGTCCAAATCCAATACCATAATTGTGGCCTTACAACTGTAGTACAATTCTCGATCAGTTCCCGAACCTGTCTCGCATGCAAGTTTTTAGTCTAATTTTTAATAGACAAGTTTTTTAACTATTTTGTTTACGGTAATCCTCTATAAACATCTTAAAATTTTTAATGTACACGTCCCGTAATATCTAAGAACACGCAAATTTTTCACTTTTTCCATCATTTTCTTCCTTCTCCCCCACCTCAACCCGCCACTGTCGGTCAGCCGATGCCGACGTCACCAGCTTGCAACCTTCTTGTCCGCCCCTCTTCCCTATTCTCTCCCTCCCCCCACGTCCTTCCCATAGTTCATCAGAATTCCTCATAGAGTTCATCAGAAATCAAGCCCATACTATAAGCAAACGGGACTACATAGTAAAAAATTCCATGAACTTTAGTCGTTGGGTGTCCAAGTATGTATCCCTGAAGACATAAATGGAAATGTCTCAGTTTTAACCTCAGGATGGTAAATTTTTCTCCAAATAATATGTAATCAATCTAGCTTATGTAAACTAGAAAAGAGAAGATCATCAAAGGTAAGTTTTAGGGCCTAAATAATTAATCTTATTGTCATAGAGCTACAAATTGTTGATCTTATGTTCTTTGTATTTAGCAAACTTCAACTGATCATCTCGTGGCAGGAGGTAACATAGAACTTTGAACTATTGAGGTCCAACACGAAAGAGTACAAACGCAATGAAGGTATAAAGGATCCCATAAACTCGCATCCTAAGTATCTCCTAAATGAAAGTTTTCAAAGAAACATTTTCCTTTTTTATCCCAGAGCGTCTTATAACTTAACATATTGACAGAAAAGAGTACAAAGCGAGAAAATGACCATCCCTAAAATTGATGTCATAGATATATTTCATTCTCAAACTTTTTAACATAACACATTAGTATTTAAACTATCAATTATTGACCAATTTCATCTTCAAATGAAAAATTAATCAATTTAAACACTTGAATGAAATGTTGCTTGTCGGATGAAAGGTTGAAGTTATTCCAACCTCGGCCCGATGTGAATGGTAAATTTTGAGTTTATTTTGTAACGATTGTGGAAGCGACAGGATATTTGGTTATAAGTGTGAGGGAAACCTTAACTTTTGGGATAGCTTTTGTGATGAGAAGGCCCAATAACACCCAACACTCGGGAAGGCAACAAGGGACACCCGCCCCCATGGGTTGATATGTTGAATTTTTGTTAGTTATTGTGGAAGCAAATAACGACAGGATCAATTTTTTATCATTCTCTAGCAACCATCCCAGGAGGAGCTAGCAGAAGTAGGAGCAAGGGAGAGAGGAGCAGGGGCAAAGGATGGGGTGGGTGTAGGGGGAGATGTTTGGCAACAGGGCAGGAGACGGGAGAGGGATCCCCCAGTCCCATTGCCATCCCTATCCAGCATTGTTATCGGAGCGTAGTAATGGCAACTCCTCCTACTAGACAATTAAATGCAATGTTGTCCATCGAATAAAAGGTTGATATTGTTCCAACTTAAGACCCAATATGTGAGGGGGAGATAGTTGTGAAAGGTGCAGGATGCCTGGTTAATGTGTGAGGGGGAAACAACACCTAACAAATTTTAACTATATCTATGAATGAACTAACATGTATTGAGATTTAAGAGTACAATTCCTTCTGCCCCATTGGTACGCTGGACCTACAAATTTTAAGTTTCTTGTGTAATTTTTCAATCATATCTCATCCAAACTCATTTTTTGGACAAATTGGACCACACAGGTCGGTTCAACCGACTGAAACAGAAGCAAATATGGGACCAATCTAGTTGAAAGGATATAAAATAGGTTAAAATCGGATAAATCCCATGGTGGAACTTAAGCTTGCTAGAGATTGAAATATAAATTAGACTAACGTACATAATCTTCTTTATCTTGCTGAAAAATTGTCCACGGTTTCATTGTATGTTTGACTCCCAATTACAATTCGTCCATGTTTTCACTATAAGATTGACTCTCTATTATAATTCGTCAACGTCTTCATTGCATGGTTAATATCATATTTTACGCCAATCACTGCCCGTCAACTTTCCATGTCTTCCGTGTAGGACTCAGATCTTGTAGTATTTGTGATTGACCCAGTGTCTCAATCCATTAGATCAAATAACTTTGCCTCCACAATACTCTAAATTTTGTGTGAACTAAGTATGTGCTTATTTATTACCAACACTCTCAAAATTCTCAAAAGCATATGTTTTCAGATCTTGATGTTAATAGTCTAGAACTACATCAATATCTGTTAGATCATTGTGAAATTTATTAAAAGGATATTGGAAAAGTAAAAATTAGATACTCCGAAGATTTTCCAAAAGTTATGAATCAACGCATAAGTACTCAATAAACCCTAATGAAGAATACGACATATGAAACAATACTGCATAAAAGTTTAATAGTTTAATTAACTAAGATTAAGACTCTAAGAATTGGAGGACTTGGATTTAAATCCTTCTTTCCCCTTCCCCCTACTCGTTTCTTACATTCCACCCCTCTCTTGTCTAAAAATAATAATAATAATAATAATTAACTTGCCTACTAAAGAATACAACATTCATATTCGTTCCAACATAAAAGCGTGTAATTAAATCAATTAAGGGTAAAATTTGAAGAAAAATCTAAAGAGTTCGGGT